GATTCTCTCCCAATCTCTCTGCCCATCGCCTAATCACACGTGGTCTCTCTCTCAAAATAAATAAACATTTAAAAAATGGCTTTATGGGCAGCAAGCCTGTCCTGATCAAACATACCAACTGAAACAAAAAAATTCTATTTTTGAAATATTTTTGTCTCAGCCCAACTTTTTCTTCCCCCCAACTTTTTAATATATAGCTATTAAACTATTCTTAATACTGGGAGAACAATATTTGTTTCCTCACTGCAATTTCTATTTATAATAAAACATATATTGAGGTGCCTGGGTGGCTCAGTCGGTTGAGCATCTGACTCTTGATCTCTGCATAGGTCTTGATCTCAGGGTTGTGAGTTCAAGTTCTGCATTGGACCACCCAGTATGGAGCCTACTTAAAATAAAAATAAATAAAATTTAAAAATATTTTTAAAAATCCTTCTCTAGAAAAGGAGTAAACTGTTTTAAAATTTTACTTCCATTTTACAGAGATTAGTTATGATATTCCACTGATTTCAAATCACTGACTGCCTGTGCCTTTTATAAGTGCTGGGAAAGGCTTCTTTCATGAACACAGTGACTTTGACTCAGAGCGAGACAATTGGAATTTCTTGCAAATCCTTTAAGATGCTGAGGCTCACAGATGTCACACAAGTTATTTAAGACTGTGCTCATGCTTAGAAGTAGAGTGAGAATAAGAGCCCAGATTTCAAAGCTTTATCTACCAATCCTCACAGTGCCTCTCTCCTAGAATGAGAGATGGGCCTCATCTTCAAAACAAAACAAAACAAAGCAAAACAAAACAGATTTGAAATCATGTATACTATGAAATACTGTGGCATAGTTAAAAAAGAGGTGAAAGATTTAAAAAAAGACAAAAAACAGAAAGAGGTGAATTTATATGTGGAACAGCATGTGGATTAACATGAAATAATCTCTACAGCGTATTGTTAAAATGAAAAAAACATTAATGGTAAGTTTGCTATCATTTGTTTCTAAAAAGGGGAAGTACAAATGTACATGTACGTTGCACACGTGTGAGCATGTATATGTGTGTAAGTATGTACATCCATAATCAGAACATGCTTGCACATATACAGACGATGTCTGGAAAGACACCAAAGAAACTGGAAACGACTGTGGTCTCTGGAAGGAGAATTAGGGGAGAGAAGAGAGGCCAAGTTTTCACTAGAGACACTCTGTGATCTGAGGAATTTTTTTTACATGAAGAAGTATTACACATCCAACAAATTCAGGAAGATGCTAACAAATGACATCTCCTCTTAATCATTTAACAAGGAGTCAACATTCAGAAACAGAATCTACTACAGACTTCCTATCTGTGAATCAGTTTCCCCAGTTTGTTTTGGACTAGATTGTTTAAAGAATGAAAGAAAATGACAGCGAGGTAGGGATTACCCACTTACATCGAGTTAAAAAAAATTAGTTAAGCAAGTTACAAAGACGTGTGCTATTATAATTCTCCCTTTGGTGTGCCATCGTGTGGCACTGCACATGGTTGGAGATTTCAAGCGTCACAAGGACTATTAAACTAAGAACTACTCTCATTATGTAACTTTTTATCTACATCAATCTGACCTTATTGCTTTTCTTCTTAGAAAGTCATGGATGCTCATGATGAAAACTCCAGAAAGTATAATAAGTATAAAGAGGAGCAAAAATGAATTACACAGAATCTTGCCAACTAGAGACCACTATTAATATTTTTGACACTTTCTTTTCGTTTTGTTTTGTTTTTACATAGTTGATATTAGTCCACTGTGCTTATTTTGTATCCTTGACATTTTTTCCTCCTTAATATTACATTAAAGTTATTTCTCCTGTTATGAAAACTCTTCATAAACACAACTTACAACAGTTGAATAATATTCCACATCTCCTGAAGTGACTTCCTTTTCAAAAAAAATTTTTTAAATGTTTGTTTATTTTTGAGAGAGACAGACAGAGGGTGAGTGGGGGAGAGCTGTCAGCACAGAGCCAACACGAGGCTTGAATCCACAAACCATGAGATCATGACCTGAGCTGAAGTTGGATGCTCAAATGACTAAGCCACCCAGGAGCCCTGATGATTGTTCTTTTAATCTGCTATTGTGGCAAATTATCCTGACTGCGTTTTTCTAATGTTAAACTAATCTTGAACTCTTTGAATAAACCCAACTTGGGAATGCTGTATTATTCCCTTAATATAATACTGAATTCAGCTTACTATTTTGTTTAGGATATCTGCATCTATTTAATTCTGTGTTGTATGGTCTTTATTAGGGTTTGGTAATAAGACTGAGACAGTTTTTTAAAATGAATCAGAGAGCGTCACTTCTTTTCTTTGGAATGGGTGATGTAAGATTGGATTTATTTCTTCCTGAAGTGTTTGGCAGAACCGGCTAGCGAAATCATCTAGACTTGAGTTTTCTTTATGGAAAGGTTTTTAATCGTGAACGCCATTTTCAAAATAGTTATGGGAATATTCAAATTTTCTGTTTCTTCTGTCAATTTTGGTAAGCTGTCTTTTTTTTTTAGGGATTTGTCCTTTTCATCTACATTTTCACAATTTTTGGTATGGAGGTTTTTCAAAATAATTTATTATTTAATAGCTGCAGGGTCTGTAGTTTTTAAACAGATAATAAAAGTATACCTCTTTTTTATTTTTATTACTATTTGTTTCTGTTATTTCTCTTGTCTTTGATCCATTTTACCAGAGGTTTAGTAATTTATTAGTGTTTTCTAAGAACTTTGGTTTTGATGTCCCTAAATATTCTATTTCATTAATTTCTCCTCTTTATTGCTTCTTTCCTTTTATTCTCTTTATGTTTCTTTATTTGGTTTCTTTTCTAATTTCTTGAGCTAAATGCTTAGCTTATTACTTTTTGGCCTTTCTTCTTTTGTAACATATGAATTTGAAGGTTGTAAAATTTTCTTTAAATATTGTAGTCCTCAAATTCAGATGATGTCAGGACAAAATTGTTCCTAGGTATTGATCTCCTTTCTTTTGGTTCAATCTTCTTCCAGATATAGAACATTATTTTATTTCTTGTGCTTTCTGATGACTTCAGGGTGATGATTTATGTACTTTAATCAGCTTAAAAAAATCAGCTTTTTAAGTTACCTTCAGTGGGAGAATTTGTTCAAATTACTTAGTTTGCCTTTACCAAAAGGTGATGCCCTGCACAATTTTCGAATATAGAGATATACCTTAATTTACCTGATTACTCTTCTAGTGTTAGACATCATAGATATCTAACAACTATCATTACACATAAATATTTTTTGCATTTTAGATTTTTTCTCCTTAAGATAGATTTCCCAAAGCAGAAATGCCAGGGAGGGGCACTTGGGTAGCTCAGTTGGTTGAGCATCCGACTTCAGTTCATGAGTTTGGGCCCCGTGTTAGGCCCTGTGCTCACAGCTCAGAGCCAAGAGCCTGCTTTAGATTCTGTGTCTCTCTCTCTCTTTCTGCCCCTCCCCTGCTTATGCTCTCAAAAATAAATAAACCTCAAAAAATTAAAAAGGCAAAAAAAAAAAAAAGAAAGAAAGAAATGCTGGGGAAAACATTTTTAGGTCTCTTGATACTTTCAGTTATATTAACTTACCCTAGTCACTGGTATTTGAATATGCCGATTTCTCCCCAGCAATAAGGACTCTTTCTGAAATACATGGCTTATTTAATTGATGAAAAGAGTTATACTGTTGCTTTAAAATGTTTCCATCTTAGATTACTGATAGGGATAAAGATTTTTTGTTAAATTTACTTGAATTTTTGGAGCAACTGGGGATCTAATTTTTATTTCTTTGTATATTTATATAAGATATGTATAACTGGCTGCAGACCGTAGGGATACCAACCTTCTACCTTTGAGAATTTGTTGCTAAGTGCAAGATCACGTTTCACCACTCTGTGCATGCCTCTGCCATGGCCCCTGGTCAATGAGTAGCAGGCTGGTCTTGCTTAGAGGGCTGGTGACATGACCAAAAACTGACATTCATTCATTCATTCATTCTTTCTTTCTTTGTTTACTAAGTTCCTACAGTATTGGCCTATAGTGGATGATGAACAAATACTTGCTGAAATACTGAGGAACAACCTGGTATGAGTCAAGGACGTGCTCACAGACTTGCCAATCTAGTGGGGGAAGACAATCAATCATGGAGAAAAATATATAAACAGAAATATATATATGATGAAGCAAAAGTAGTATGTTCTGCAACAGAACCTAACAGGGCACCCAAATGAGGAACGGACTCGGTTTATGTGATGGGGGACAGGGAGATCACCAGGTGGCCTTTTTGAAGATGCGACACTTGAACGGAGACATAGGGTGACAAACAGTTAACTGGAGTGGGGGAAAATGTGTTCCTGACAGAAGAAACAGGCTCTGTAAATGCCCCAAAGCAGGAATGACCGTGGAGAACTGGCTGCCATAATCTCAGTTTTCATGTCACCTGTCCCTTAAGTCACTGGGAGTATAGAGGAGGTGATGCCAAAGATTCACAACTTGGAAACTAGAGAAAAAAAATGAAAGAAATTAACTTAAGTTTTAAAAGGGTTTACAGCACAGTTCTGGGGACCACTACATTGCCTCCTGGTAAGAAGTACGCAAACAGAATTCTCTAAAACTGGAAGTCTGAACAGTGATACCGACAGGGCCCAGTTGTTTTATATATAAAATAGTCTTTCCTCAGAAAAGGCCTCATATTTATTTCTAAATAAAGCAGTTTCCAGGGCTGCTCCTAACTTAGGAAGATATAGTTTAACAGAAAAATATTAATCACAGAATGCTAAACAGGATGCAGACTTTTTACCCAAATGCATAAAATCAATCATTTCACTTTGGGACACACTTTTGGCACGGAGGCTGAGATGCGCCTTGGAAAACAAAGTCATTTTAAAGCTGCCGAGGGAAGCCAGGCCAGTGAGTGTTCCCAGACACTGGGCTCCTAAGCATGTTTGCAATGGACAAAGCGGGCATGGAGCGAGGAGGCCAACATACTGTTCTCGCGGACCAGGCAGAACTCCCATGCGCTCTGACTCTCCAAAGTGCTCTCCAGGTCCACGGCGACATTAGGCTCGCTCTGCTTCTCCAGGCGGTACTGAGGGCCTGGAAGATCAAAGGGGCAGGAGGAGGGGAGGAAGTCTGAAACAGTGAAATTAACATTGAAAAAAAAAATACCACATACTGGCAAAAAGCTGAAAAGCATTAGGAAAATGCTGAAGTCTGTCTGAGGGCTTAGCTATCCAAGAAGGAAGAGTCTGGGGTTTTTTCCCCATAAGGTTTCACATACTTGTCTGTTCTATTATCAGCTCTGTTTTTGCTCAGCTCCCCCAATAGAGGTAAGAGGTGGATGGCTTTTGAGTCAGACCGACCTGGAATCACAACAGGGTTACCTGGTTTCTCAGGAGGCAGGTAACCTACGCTGGTGGAGCTTCTGTTTCCTAATACGTAACGGGGGAATGCTTATACCCGAAAGATTATTGTGAGGATTACAGATGATACAGGAAGAATACTTAGTAATGCACCTGCCTCATAGGAAGCACTCCTACAGAAGTACTTATTAATAATCATTATATAATAATGCATAATCAGTTGTAAGCAGGGATATAGTATGAGTAGAATTCTAACATGATGACAGCCCAAAAATTCAAAAAAATTTAAAAAGCAGGTGAGGTTAAAAAAAAAATCTCTGATTTCAGGGTTACAGTGATACAAAGACAGTAGCTGCTGATTCATGTTTTTGTTGAAACATTCATGAAAATACAAAGACACAGGTTCAATAATACGGAAAACCAGGAATACTAGCCAGCCTATGTCACATAGGGGGCTCTGGCAGATCCTAATAAAAACACTGGGACATTTTATACATTTATTCATGTATTTCTTTGTCAAGCCAAATGACAATCTTGTCCTCAGATAAACCTAACGGGTCCAATGATCAGATTCAAAAGACTACTCCTGTTGTTAATGGTTATTGAAAAGATTAGAGCTGTAAGAAACTGTCTTATTATTTTGACTCTGAAAGGCATGTTTGGTCAGACAGAGGAGAGGTGTGGGAGATCTGAGGAGAGCATCAGAGGCCTTCCAGGGCTCCCAGGCAGAACACGTATTTTTAGATATGTTCTTCAGCTGTTGTCAACTTGTTGTTATTCACATCCAGTGCCTCTCCCTCAGCAGTCAGGGCATTTCACTCACCTCCTCCACGTAATTTTCCTCCCCAATGTTCTGTGTTCATCGAGAGCACTGTAGTTTCATGGTACAGTCCCTCTTTTCTCTAATTGGTATTTCATTAGCAATTCTCAGAATGATTACACACCTTCAGTCTTTTTTACACTACACATAGCTCTTAAACTTTTACTAAGTAAATAATGCTCACAACGTTTATACAACCGTTTATGCAAATGCATGCTCAGAAGCCTGCATGATTCCTACAAAGTCTAAGATGCTATATTCAGGTCAAGAGGGTACTGCTTTTCAACATTATACACCAGTCAGATTTTCATTTAAAAAAGATTTAGCAAATAAAGGTATGGAAATACAGGTAATTCCTAGTCTCCAGTATCTGTCACCTACCAGTGACATTTGTCAAGTACCAGGCATGTTTCTTGATGATTCCTGATGCCTCCACAGTCACTGGTGGAAGTGATCACAGGAAAATCGTGCCCAGCTGAACTTTCAGAAAAGTTAGTTGGTGAGAAGATTCCTACCCACCCTCTCCTCTCCCCTCCTGAACATCTACCTTTCGTAGCTATGGGCCTCTTCAGCCCATTAGAGGGGAAGGAGTCACTGCTGAACCTAGGCAGCTGCTTTCTAAGGCACTGGCCTGTTACACCATCTTGGGCTGCCCCATCTCCAGTACCTCCCAGCAACACATCCACCTCTATGAATTTACAGTGAAATCAGGTACAAAGTCAAGCTATAACAATTCATTTTTTTATGACAGCCCAAATTTGGGAACACCCTAGACGTAACAACAGGGGATGATTAAACCAAATACTGTGAAATACCGTAAAGGTATTAAAAGTGATATTACAAAAATACTTAATTTTATAAAACATGTTTATAACATGCTATTTTACAAAATGCTATTTTACAAAAACGGCAAATTAGAACACAATGTATGCTGGATGGCTGCAATTGTGAAAAAATATATGTAAAGTCACAAGGGGCAAAAAGACTGCAAAGTTATTTCCAAAATGTGAATAGTGCTGGGGCACCTGGGTGGCTCAGTCAGTTATTGGCTCAGGTCATGATCTCGAGGTTCGAGGTCTATGCTGACAGCTTGGAGCCTGCTTCAGATTGGATGTATCCCTCTCTCTCTCTGCCCCTCCCCCCTCATGCTCTATCTCTGTCTCTCTCAAAAATAAATAAACATTAAAAAATGTGAATAGTAAAAAAACTAGAAAAGAGAAAATTTAAAAAAATGTGAATAGTGCTTGTACTGGATAGTGGGATGATGAGTTTTTATTTTTCCTTAGTGTTTTTCTGTATTTGTCTTATTTCCTATGATAAATAAAGGCTACTTTTATAATTTAACATACATCACATATACTTTCAAGTCTTCTGATTTCTTACTACACCATTTTTCTGAGGATGCCATAATCACCACACATATGGCATTTCACACATGGTAATTTAATCAAACCAGACATTTGTCCATTTACATAGACTGCTATTTTTTCCCTAAGTAACCCTGTAACTGAGGCTTGCTTAGTCTGACTCTGAGCGCAGTATACAGGGGATTGGGCTTTTGGAGCTGTATGCTGACAGGTGGACTGTAAACGAGCCACCCCCTTCCCGATCGCTGGAAGCCCAGGCCTGGCTCCATCAGGGTTATTTCAGGCTGGTCTCCTTTGCACTCTTTTCCCTTCAGTCTCTGCAGCTGTCTGGGAAACATGATGAGGGAAACCAAGGGGTGAGCAGGGGGAACTAGGAAAGGTTCCTTGTCCCTAAACACGAGCCCCTGCACCACTCCCAAAGTCATAACTGCCGTCATTCAAATGTACTCTCTTGTTTCTTAGGTCTTGCAGATGTTTCTATTAAAATAGTTTGTTTTGTGAAAGTAGCTTTAGAACTTTCTCCTTGAACTTTAATATGATGATGGTTCTCACTGAATGGCCATTACATGCCAAGCACTCTACACATGTTACCTTAGTGTATGCTCACAGCCAACTCTAAGAGGCAAATATTATCCCCATTTGACAGACTGGGACCCCGAAGGTTGGCAAGGTGAAGTAACTTGCCCAAGATCACAAAGGTAGGAAGTACGACAGGGGAAATAAAACCCAAGGGTCCTAAACTCTAAAGCTTGTGGGTTTTGAACCTTTCTTCCTCTAGCAAACTATAAATTACTGGCTAACTATAAAGAGGCCATAGTTTATACCGTAAGTATAGATTTTTGTAGATTTGTAGTTTCATTTGGGTTCTGAATCACTTAACTTGTGGTTTTCTATAAATTCAAAATGAAAATGATCTGAAATAATTTATTTTAATGAAATCCATACATACTAAATATCCTGTCCAGTGGCTGTGTCCTGGGTTCTTATGAAGGCAGGATCACTTTATTTTTTCCATCCATCCAGGAAGACTCTCTCCCTCTATCTTTCCTTAAGAATATACCTATGTGTACTCAGTTTTGTCATTAACTGAAATTCTGAGTATCATCTTCTGCCCTGGGTACGCCCTCTGCTCTTCCATAAAAGCTAAAGACCAACCTGGAAACGCATTTATGAACTTAGCAAGACTGATGGGTCTTGACTTTAGGGAAGACAGGGCGGTTAAACTCTAGAGGAGACTTGAGATCAAAACCCAAATGGAAAACTGCCTCTTACAAATATCAACTTCTCTCCTAATTCTTGCCCAAACAGTGGAGAAGACCTCTCACATGGAAAGACTGTCATATACATTTTCCCCTGAAAAGGCCAGACTGATAACTTCAAGCGTACATGTAACAAGAGGCAGGGTATATCTGAGAAGCAACATAAGCTGCTGGTTAAGGGCATGGACTTGGGGTCAGATTGTCTTGGTCTAGTCCTGGCTGAGCAGCTTAGCTGTAGGACTCTGGGGCAATTCAACCTCTCTGTTTCTTCATCTGTAGAATGGGAAGATAATAATACCTCCTGGGCCCATCTGAGGATTTAATGAGTTAATAGTTGTAAGGCAGAGCAGGGTCTGATACTATTTAGTGTCAATTGTCATCTACATCCTCATCACAGGACTATCACAAAACTAAGAGACCATAACATAAACAGGGCCTACTATGTGCCAGGTACTCTACCAGGCCTTTTATACAGATCATCTGATTTGTCACCCTAGGATGTAAAGAATATGAATTCTGTTTTACAGGGGAAGAAACTGGGGCTTACAAGGGCTAAATAACTGGCTCGAGGACCCAAAGGAAGTGGTGGGATTAGGATTCGTAGCCAGGGCTGCCCTAGCCTGCAATCGGCAGTATGTACGAACCACATCACCTCCCTCATAACAAGTTCTTAATAAAAGTCTGGTGATGGTAGTCAAGATTATGACAACCCAGACCTGCTAGATCTATCAACTTATAGTTTCTATCAAATGCTTAATTTTCAGGCAGCTGATGTAGGAAAAAAGAAAAAACAGCAGCCAAAACCATTTTAAAAAGACAAGCTGTGAGGTCAGTTTCTAATAATATATTTTTGCTAAGGAAATGATTTTATAAAATATAAAAGTCTCTTTCACACTGAATAGGACATAGCTCTCCAGGCAACATCCACCTTTCGAAAGAGGCTTTAAAATGTCATAGCTGCACATGAAGCCACATGCCCTCTACCTCACAGTGGATGTGGACATAAAAGGAAGATTCCGCAAAGCAGTCACTATGCAGTGACAAGGAATGCTCGGGCATTCCAATGATGTATTTATTTTATTAAAAAAAATTTTTTAACATTCATTTTTGAAAGACAGAGAGAGACAGAGCATGAGTGGGTGAGGGGCAGAGAGACAGAGGGGGACACAGAATCTGAAGGAGGCTCCAGGTTCCAAGCTGTCAGCACAGAGCCCGATGCAGAGCTCGAACTCACGGGCTGCGAGATCATGACCTGAGCTGAAGTCGGACGCGTAATTGACTGAGCCAC